TATAGAGAGAGGGTTCCTAGACTGGATTAGGATGTCTTTTCATATTCTGAAATTATATTATAGTGCTTTAATTTCACCTCAAAATCCATCACATTAACCCACAACCTTTTCATCCTCACATTAGCAGCCATACACAGACTTCTTTAACAGGGATTTAACAGTACTTGATGAGAGAATATTGATGTCTGATAACAGCATTATAGAAGACAAAGGCACAGTCAAACAGCCACTTAGTAGACAGCAATACATTTTCTGTGTAAGAATCTCTAGTTCCAGTGGGGTTAAATATGCACTTCCTGTTGCCTGTTGTCATGGTGACTCACTGAATCAGGGCTCCACTAATACTGTATTTTCACGACTATAAGGCGCATATAAATGTCTTTTTTTTCCCTCAAAATATGCGGCGCGCCCTTTGGTGCGGTGCACCCAATGTGTGTTGTTACTGCAGACTTTTGAGACCACCTCATTGAGGAGATGGTGAAAGAGTGGCTGAGGGAGGTGAATGTAAGGTAATGGTTTTTTTCCACTCATCACTATTGCTGTTATTCTGTGACTCCGTGCGTGCCCATCTCACAGCTGATGTGAAAAACATGGTGCTTGCTGTTATTCAACCGCTTGACATCGGTATGAACCGGACGCAGCAGGCGCAGCAGAAGCAGCGAGTTTACATGCAAAGTCAATGGTTGACGCACATATAGGCGCAGCAAAATGTCCTGCAGCGCGTTTTGAGCAGCAGGCGCAGCGCGTCGGGAGTGTTTAAGCATCTGACGCGCGGCCAACGCGCTGCTGCTGCTCGAGATGGAAAAATTTAAGTTTTGCTGCTGGACGCGCCGCATCAACCAATCAGAGAAGCTGATCTGGGAGCTGACAGCGAGACAAACACATCGCTGATGATAAACATATACACAGCGCTGTGATCGCTCCTCTGAAACAGTTTATTGACGCCTAAATTAACCTGCCGACAGAATATGTTCGCTTTTATTATCCAGTTTTCAGGTGGATTTTCCCACTTAAAAACATATTAAAACAACTTTATTCCCACTGATCACAGCAAATATAGCTGCAAGGTGTATTTAATACAAGTAAGGCTGCGAGCGGCGTGGGAGCAATGGATGACAGACGGAGACCACAGTTTCACAAAAAGTGGAAGGCAGCCCCGGGCATGTTACGCCACCGTTTGCGGATGGATTGTAGATGCTTGGACTAACGTGTCTGCTGGCACTGTTGTTCGAGCTTTCGCAAAATCATTTCCGAGGAGCCGTCCGGCACGGAAAGGGACTCTGACAGTGAAGAAGGGGAAACTGGCATGTCTGATTTAGTGCAGCTGTTTAATTCAGAAACAGAGGATGATGACTTTGATGGTTTTGATTAATACTTTGTAATAAATACTTGAATAAAGCACAATCATACTCAGTTTTGCTCCCGCTGTATTTTTCCATCTGAAAACTTAATTCAACGGTAGCCTCTGGCCGGTTTGCCTCCTCGCAGTTCACAGCGGCGGCTGGTAGGCGTTTTTTCATCTAAATAATCTAAAGTGCAGGCACCAGGATGATAAAAGCAAACATATTCAGTCGGCAGGGTTCTGCATTTTAAGGTAATTTATGCGTAATAAACATTTTCAGAGGAGCCCTGTGTCATTAGCGATGTGTCTGTCTCACGGCCAGCTCCCAGGTTTGAATAATACTTTGTAATAAATACACCTTGCAGCTNAGTCTCAGCTAAACATGAACTGAAGGTGTTTGTCTCTCTGCAGCATTTTAGTTCAAGACAAGCTTGTTCTTCATTGAGTGAAATGACTAATGATGGGCAGAGAAACCAGAAACTTTACTAAAGAGCAACGATGCTTCATCATTATTTCACTCCAGTAAAAGTAAAATACAGTAAAACTGCACATTAAATGATCTTTTAGATAAAGTTACTATAGTAAATGGAAGTAGTACCCAGGTCTGCTGGTTTAGGTTAGGCTGATGCAGAAGGCATCAGGTTCAGAAAGCATTTGGTTAATTAAACTGATCTGAGGTGATTGTTTCTGAGCTCTGATGGTCACTAGGGCTGAACCATTTTACAAAAAATATAAATTGTGATTATTTTTAAGCCATATTTTGATTTTATTATGATTTTCTTTGGCACTAAAAAAGCATGTAGATGTTTCACTCCACGATTTCAGTTTTCATGACTTTAAATGCTTGCTTGTCTAAAGTCCATTGTTGCAGAACTTTACTCTGAACTTTGTTAGGAAAAGTACTAACTTCTACTTGCATCGATGCATCTGTGTGCTAGCTGGAAGTCTCTTCTTCTTTTTTGTGTTAGTACATCAACTTTAAACATTAACCACCACATACAGTGAAAGAAGTTAGCCTCTTAGTCTTGTTAAAATGTAATTTGACCAAAATTGAGTGCCTCTGATTTCATAATTGTGTTTTCTTTAATTGTGATTTTATTGTGAATGAAATGAATTGCCCATCGCTTTTGGTCACTTTGCTTTATTTAGGTAAATGATTGCAAGCAGTTTATGAAAATGTTATAAATATCCTGAAATCTTAATGACAGTATGTTAAAGTAAAATCCACAGCCACTAAGAATCCAAGAAAAGAAATTGTCCTCATTAAACATAAAGGGATCCGTTATCAATAAACAGCTTATTGTGAAACACTACTGCATATATATTTATAAAACAAACAACTAGTAAATAATAATGAAGTGTCCAATAAACACAACTTGGTCATTGCAGAGGTAACTACTTTACAGTAGATATACGTCTACAGTATAATCTACCTCATGGCATTTAAAGTTGGTCGGTTTGTAATTATTAACTATTTTACACTATAAATATATAATAAATATTAACTATTGTCTGCAATAAATGCTCTATGAGAGCAACTAAACAAGCAGTTACTCATCTGCATCGTCCATCAAGTTTCATTGATAACTCCACATTCTTTGATCTCTGAATAGAGTCCTTAAGGAATAAAAATAAACACAGAAGATGTAAAAAAAAATATGAATTAAAACCTGGAAATGATCAAAAATGCCTAATTTTAGTATTTTATTTTATTTTTGTCTTGCTATTAGGTTGATCTTTAAATGGCTATTTATATTGACTAATATACAGAATATTAAATAAATGCTCATTAACTCCAGTAAAACAATTAAGCCATGACAATGATAATAATATTGTGAACCATATGAGTCTGATGTTCAGGGTACAAAGTACAAAAGCTTCATTATTTTACTTAAGAAGAAATGTTGGTTATCTATATGCTACTGGAGTAATTATTCTTTAGACAACTTCTTACTTTTACTTCTTACATTATCAAAATAGAGTCTTTAGTTTTGTTTATTTTAAGCTAATTTTGATTATGGCCTGTTAGTATTGAAAAAATAAAATAAAATCCATCAAAAATAATTAGTTCCATCCAGCCTTTGTAGTTGGACTCAGTTCTGCCCCAACTATCTGACCTGTTATAAACCTGAATTTCTAAAACTGGAGCTCCTCTGAGTGTCACCCTTATAATCACATCTAAACCTGATGAATTTGGAACAAAAAGCACAACAA